CGAGAAGAAGGAGGAGGAGGAGGAGGAGGAGGAGGAGGAGGAGGAGGAGGAGGAGGAGGCTCTTCTTCACCTCGAGACATCGCAATCATGGATCGTATCCTGTTCCTTGCCAGATCTGCGCGCTTCGTTGCCAGATGAGGCGGCGCTCGCGCCATGTTTTGGGGTGTACCTTTCTCAATACAGGGATTTGGCACCTTCGCGTCAGATCCACGCATCCCTGCGGTCGGGAACTTTTGGCTTAGCGTGTCGCTTCGCTGGTTCTGTCCCATCACGCTGCGGTGCGACACGTTATCCACATCCCAGCCTCCAGGCGTCACCGCCCCGAACCTTTACCGACCTCCCGCCCTGCGGAGCGGAGCGACACGCTACCCGCTTGCACGGCACAGCGCGTCGCTGGGGCCGCCGCGGCGACACGGAATGCAAAGGTTGCCGACCGTAACCCACGTCAGCGTGCTCCCGAGCTCGGCCACGCGCAGAAGGGGGTAGGGGGAGGAGGGAAGGCTTCTAAGAAGCACCTCTGCTTCTTAGAAAGCGTGGGCCTTGTCTGTAGATGTAGGGCCCGCCCCTTCTAAGAAGCAGCCTCCTTCTAAGAAGCCTTCCCCCCTTCCCCAAACCCCTTGGGCGCGCTGCCAAGTGCATTTTCTGGTCGGCGGGGCCACAGTGGAGCATCTTCATGTTGCGAACAAAAGATCGAAAAATGCACGGGAATGGACCTCCGAGCGACAGCGAGGCATTTGCAGCCGATGGGCGGCGCCTGCGGAGGGGGTCAGGCGGTTCTTCGCTCCCAGATCCCCGAGGTGATCCCCGATTGCGAAGGTCTCACGGCCGGTGCCGCCGACCTCCAAGGGAGACGACGACGACGGCGGCGGGTATTGCGACATTGCTAGGCTGTTCTCTCGCTGACAAGCCTGAGGAGGAGGGCACAGAGAAAGGGGACGGCGGAGACGAAGACCGACGGAGACGACGACTCGAGCAGACAAACTCCTTACACACGCCGACCGGGTGGGCGGATTTTTGGCGGCGCCCCCTGGGCGCGCCGCCGAGATCCACGCCAGCGTGCTCCCGCCTCACCCTCGGGGGCGGCGCCCCGTCGGCAGCATTTCGGAGGCCCTCCAGAGGCCCTCCGGCGGCCCTGCGGGGGCCCCTCGGCGGCCTTCGGTGTCCTTCGGGCGGCTTCGGTGGCAACGGCCTTCGGTGGCCCGGGCAGCGGCGCGGAGGGCGGCGCGGCGGCGGCAGCCCCGTCCTTGTCGTCGTCGTCGTCGTCGTCGTCGTCGTCGTCGTCGTCGTCGTCGGTGTGGGTGTCCACTGCGGTATCGGTTTCTGTGTCGTCTTCTTCTCCCTCCTACCCCTCCTTTTGCCTCCTCCCTCGGCCCTCCACGGGGGCGGCGCAGGGCGGCCACTCGCAGCAGACCCTGCCCTGCGCCGGCGCCTATCCGTCGCAGCAGGCCGCGGCGTCCGGGCAGGGCCTGGGCCAAGCGCCTGCTGGCGGGGCGCCGCCAGGTGGCACCTCCCCACGGGGCGGCCAGGGTCGCGGGGAAGGTCGGGGGCAACGGCATGGGGCAGCGACGGGGAGGGGACAGGATCAGGTTCGAGGAGCGGCTGCGCCTCGCCGAGGGCGTTCTGGGGGTCCCTGGATCGTCCCGAACGGCCGCCGGAGGCCCGGCCCGAGTTATGGCCCGAAAGCCACCGGGGACGGGCATAGGGATAGGATTGGATGTATCGACCCCCAATCGCCCATTGATCGCCGATAGGGGCCCGATGGCCCCAACCCGCCCAGGAAGGTGTGGTTTCGCTATTCGGGGCCTATCGCCGATCTATCGGCGATGTATCACCGATTCCACGTCGATGCATTCCCCCCTATGCTTATCGCCCCCCCCTCGTTGCCCCTCAGAGGGGCAGGAGTCCGAGGAGAGAGCGTTACGGATTCCACTACCCCTCCGTCGTTTTCATCTTCTTGGGCCTCGTGGGAGGCCCTCTTTGCCACAGCTGGACTCGCTTCGGAATCCCGGTCAGAACGTCTCCAGGGAGAGGTCTGGGAGTAGTAGTACAGGTCCTTCGGACGGGGCTAGGACAAGGATAAATCCGTTCCAGTGCGTTCTGGAGCGCTTTCAGAGCGTTCCGAAGCGCTCCGAAAAGAGCCGCCGGAAGTCGGAGATTCTCGATTTGTCCTCATCCGATTTTGTCCTCGTCCTGGCTTCATCTTACAGGGAGCGGTACGATCAGATGGGTACGGAAAGAGTGGGTACGAATGCCGGCAGCATTTCCGGTTCGGTCTGAACAGGACTCGCGGTCGGCGTCGCTGGAAACGTGGTCCCTCTGAGGAGACAGAAGGCCGCCTACCCAACAGCGGCCGCTGCCGGTCCTGGACAACATTTGCCGCTGGGCATCGTACACCTTTTTCCCCTACCCATTTCGGTCGTCCAGGTGTCACCGAGCGCGTTCCACTACTCGCAAAGTGCCTACTCGCAAACGTCAGAAACGCACATGCCTGCATCGATGTAATGTATCGTAAATCTCCCATGGCGGATCCAGGCCATCTGCGAGTAGTTACTTTGCGAGTCGTGGAACGCGCCTGTCTAAAATGGGGCGGAGTGGGGGGGGTTCTCATTGATGTGGTGGTGGCGCGAGGGGGGCAGTCTTCTGAGGAGGCGGGTCTTCCTGAGAAGGCGCGGGGCCCTCTCACAGAGTGTGGTGTCTTGGGGGTGGATGGGAACGAAAGCTAATGCTGATTCCGCAAGTTGTTCGCGATGTTGGTCATCTTTTCGCGTCGTTCCATCCTCCCCTTCCTCGTCGTCGTGTCGTCAACACGTCACATCCTCCTCCTCCCCCGTCCCTTCCCTACGCTCCCAAGAAGGCTTCTCTCGGGGCTCGAAGGACGAGGGTCCATGCAAAACGGGGGTCAGTCAGGGCGCCAGATCTCTCTGGATCCTGCAGGGCCAGGGGCGCACTGACCTGGGCTTGGGTGCAGGATCCTGCAGGATTCTACAGGATTCTGCAGGATCCTGCAGGGCCTGACTGACCCAGGCCTGGATTGACCGGTCAGAAGATCCCCGATTCTTGGAAGCCGGGCGGGCTTCCGAGAGGTCCCCCCCCTACGTACCTTCTAAGAAGTCCCGCAGCCTTCGCAAATGCCCACCACCTTTGCGACAACCCCCTCTCAGGAGGCCCCGGCGGCTCTCAAGAAGGCTTCTCGGAAGCCGGGCGAACTTCCGAGAAGCCCAGCCCCCCCCCCCCCTCGGAAGCCGGGCGGACTTCCGAGAAGCCCCCTGCCCCCCCCCCTACGTACCTTTTTTCGGGGGTTGATAGACCTACCCTGACACGTCGATTAGCGCATTGGCCGTTTTCGGTTCGCGAGAGGCCGTCGCGGCCGTCGTCTTTGCGGGTCCAGGTCCGTGGGTTTCGGTCCTAGGCCGTTTTCACTAAGGGGCGGTTTACTAAAGGGAGGTTTATCCACCGCCGATTCTTAGAAGCCTCGCAGCCTTCTCGTATGCCCGCCACCCTCGCGACACCCCCCTGTGGGCGCCACTGGATGGCCCATATACTATCAGACCGCATCATAATGATTGGTAACTTGCCAGGGGTACACAGAGGCTTCAACTTGGGCGTTCAAGGGCCTTGCTTCCCGATCGCGAATCCCGGTGATCGTGCCGCACTAAGCACTGGCCCCCCCCCAGGAACGCGGAGCTCCGCCATCGGGGCCTTCTCGCCGCTTCATCAGCGACGCTGATGAAGCGGCGAGCTCGGTCCTTTTCCCCCCGAGCCAGTGCTCCTCTTGCGCCCCCCCAGCCCCTTCTAGGAGGCCACATGCGAACCCTACCCCACCACCCCACGATTTCTAATGGGGGGAAAGTAGCGCCCTCGGCTCCTCGGCTCCTCGCTCCCCTGCCCGTTTTTGTTCCTTGCCTGGCCCGCTTTTCTTTGTCGGCCCGTCCCGCGGTCCGAATAAGAGCTGCGGTAGCTTGGCGTTTGCTGCACTGTTTCCTTGTGACCGCTGGAAAGTGGCGTTCACTTCGCTCGGTGGATCTGCGCTGGGGCCTCCCGGCGGCGCCTCCGGCGCCGCCCTTGGCGCGCTCCGCGCGCCAGGGAGGGGGGCCCAGCGCAGACCCAAGACATCCGCGCAGAGCGCCAAATGCCTGCGTTTATGGCGCCTTTGCTTCTTCTGAAGAAGGGCCTTGCCTCCGAGGATCGAAGGAGTTGCCGTCTCTTCCTCGGCGGAAGGCGGCGGAAGGGCGGCGGAAGGTCGGCGGAAGTAAAGCGAGGCCGCCTCCGCCGGCGGAAGCCGGCGGAAGGTTGGCGTAAGGCGGCAGAAATAGAACATGCGCCCCAAGAGATGAACATGTTTTTGGGTTCAGGGTTTCCGGAATCCGCCACTCGCCTCCTCCTGATTTTGCCTACTACCGCTGTTGCTGCTCTAGGCCTCCACGATGCATCGGCGCCGTCGCGTGGAGAAACTCGACCTCCGCATCGAGCCGCATCGCCGACGCATAGGCGATGCGGCGCGATCCTCCGACCCCATCTATTCCGACCTCATCTGGGAGGCCTCTAGCTGCCCCAACTGCTCCTCTTCCTGCTGCTGGTCCTCCTCCTCGTCCTCGTCTTTCTCGTCGTCGTCCTCCCAGTTCGCGGGATTGCCTGCGACAAGGCGGGGACGCTGGCAGCGGATATAGTAAAGCGACAAGGAGAACAGAGATTCCTGTTAACAGGCTGAAGTAAGGACCGTTTGGGGCTCAGGAGGGGCTCGGGTTTTCGCGCCATTCCTTAGACCTGTGTCGTGGAACCTGCTTGTGGCCTAGGCCCGCTGTGGCCAGAAAAGCCCCTTCGTTCCCTGTTCAAGAGGCTTGCGCCATTCCGCCGACTCCCAGAAGAGAGAAGAAGTCCACGGGTGATTTTTGGGGCCTCTAGGGGAACCTCTGGGGGCCCCTTTGGGACTTCCTTGGGGCCTCTTCGGGCCTGTTTGGGTGGTTCCTGGATGCCTGCAGGCGGTCTTGGGGGTCCTCTGGGGGTGGAGGGCTCGGAATGTCAGTTCGAGGTACCTCTCTTTGGGCCCCTCTTGGGGGCCTATTGGAGGAGGAGGAGGAGGAGGAGGAGGAGGAGGAGGAGGAGGAGGAGGAGGAGGAGGGTAGGAGAAGTGGGAGGGGGGAGGGGAGGAGGAGGGGGAGGACGAGGGTGAGGACGAGTGGGAGGGGGAGGAGAAGGGGGAGGAGGACGAGGGGGAGCTTGAGCAGGCACGGGAGGACGTGTAGCAGGGGCAGGAGAAGGTAACGGTAAGATATGGCAAGGCAAAGCAGCGGCCTGAAGGCAGTCGTGGGCCAGCGAATTTTCTGCCTCGAGGCCGGAGGCACTGCCGCCTCCCGCCTCGGAGGCCGACTCGAACTCCTCCTCTTGGCATCGCTCGGACGTGGGCATCCTGCCTCGGCGAGGACCATCGAGTTGCATGTTGGATCATCTTGCGAAACATACACACGAGATCGAAACGTGCACGGGGAGCGGACGTCCGAGCGATGGCGAGTCCTCCACGGGCTTCTACCGGTGGGAAGTCGGCCGTGGCCGAACCACTGGCGCCCAGCACGAGGGCCCTGCGCTTCACGCTCCCGCACCGCTGGCCACTTGGGCCGTCCCGCGCTGGGACAGAATGCTGGCCAGCGGCAGGAGAAGGAGAGGGAGCAGGAGGAGCAGGAGGACGCGGGCTGGCTCGTGGAGCCGCCTCCCTCCCCCCTCCCCCTTTCTCTTGTTCCCTGATCCCTCTCCATCCGGGTCCTCCCTCCCTCCCTTCTGGTCCTCCCCGCCCCCCTGCTCCCTCCACCGTGCACCTCCCCCCCCCCACCACCACTCCCCCCCCGCCGTTGGACTCGCCGCCCAGGTTCCTCCGCGGCAGTCGCGCCGCTGTCGGGCACGGGTGGCCCAGGTGATGGGCTCCTCCGCTCTCCCTCCCCCTCTCTCTCTCTAGATCTCTTTCTGTGCGGGGTCAGGACGAGGGCGCGGCGGAGAAGGCCAGCAAGGAGAAGAGGAGGAGGAGGAGGAGGAGGAGGAGGAGGAGGAGGAGGAGGAGGAGGAGGAGGAGGAGGAGGAGCTGCCCACTTTGCCCTCCCCTTTCCCCTTTCCCCCTTTCCCCTTCCTGCCCTCTGCCTCTGCCCCTGTTCCAGGCTGCGCCTCTCAAGCGCATGACCTGTGGACGTTCGCACCGTTGGTGTCGCCACGGTCCTCCTCGTCCTCGTCCTCCTTCTCCTCTTCGCCCTCTCCCTCCCCCTCGCCCTCCCCCTCCTCGTTTATCTCGTACTCCGTATCCTCCTCATTTTGCGGGCTTCCCATCTGCCAACTCCCTTAGAGTAGGTATGTTTTGCATGTCCAGATCTCAATCTGCTTTGGGCGCCTTCCTACTTCAATGATCGAGTGTGTTTCACCTTGTCCTGCCTCTCCAGTCAGCATTGTTTGACCGATCCCCATTCCCATGGGGCCACTGTATCTCATCCCCACCAGCCCACCCCCCAGGCGGGGATAGGCCCCGCGAGACCCGAAGGGAACACCATGTGTATCCCCATCTGGGGGGTTAAATCAGTCAGTGGAGCCCGTGCTATGTCAGTGCGGATGGGGATGGGCTGAACGATGCTCATCCAGGGGGCGGGCGGACGCCCAGTCTGCTTCTGGCGCCTTCCTGCTTCCTCCGTCGGCCCGCTGCTTCCGGCCATCGGGGCAGCCTCGAGGGACGAAGCGCGCCGACCACGACCAAGACGTCGCGGGATCCTGCCGACGCCGATCTTGGTCCGTCTCCTCCTCCGCCTCCTCCTCCTCCTCCTCCACCTCGTCCTCCTCCTCCACCTCCCCCTCGCACCCCCTTCCCCATCCCCCTCCCCGCACGCTGACCGTGTCCGATTCGTGAGGAGGATCCACGGCTTGACGCAGACCAAGATCGTCGACTCGACACCGACGTTTGCGAGGATCAGTCTCGGCCATGGTCGTCGTTTTCTTTCCGTCCACATCCCGAGACGAGGGCGAGGAAGACGGGGTTGGAGGCGGACGCAGGAGGTTGGACGAGCTATGACCACGTTGCCAGCGGTGTAGGGGAGATCTTCTTGCAAAGGCGCGTCCAGCATTGCAGCGATACGAGTGGATCGTCACAGTGTTGGCCTTGCGAGCGGCGTCGCTCAATTTTGCAGCGCACTTCGGGCAAGCCGGAGCTGCTGTGGATGCTGGCCGTGCCCGGAAATCGCAGCGAGCAGCTGCAGTTCGGTCGCCAGGCTGCCGGCGTTCAGGGTTGTCAGGGACAGAGCCTGAGCCTTGGCAGTAGACGTGCGCGGGCGCGGTGTTAGTGTGGGATGGAAGCTGGATGGCTCTGGCAAGCCACCCGGAGTTCTGCTCAGCATGCACACGCCGTACGTCCGTCCGTTTCTTCTTTCGGTGATGCGCATTCGCCCCCTCCTGTGAAGTCTGTTATGCCAGCAGACTGCGTGTTCAGCATTGGGCCTCGCGCGGGCACTCAGATGGCAGCAGCCAAGCAGATTCCTCCATTCATTTTTCCCTCCCTCCCTTCCCTTCCATCGCCTCTCCATCTCCACCTCCATCTCCCGTTCCAGCCCCTTCTTTCCCCGTCTCACCACGCCCTTTCTCGGAATGAGAGTCTTCTGTGGGCGCTTGAAGACGAGGGGGTACCCCACAGTCTTCATCACACTCTTTATTTACCCTCCCCCCGTTAAGGTGCGTGTGTGTGTGTGTGTGTGTGTGGGGGGATGCGTTGGCGAACCTCTCTGCTCCTCCCATCCTCAGAAGGGGGAGGGCGGTTCGACCGTCCCTTCCTCCGCTCCCCTCCGTACCCCCTCCCAAGCCAGCGCGCCAACAAACGAAGACGACGTGGACGACGACCACGACCACAACCACGATGACTACGATAACGATGGCCACGACCACGACAACAGCTTGGCGACCGGGCGACCACGACGACGACGCTGACGACGACTAACACGACGCACTCGACGACGACGCTGATGCTGACGACGCTGATTGTGACACTGACGACGACGACACGACGACGACTACACAACGACGACGTCGACGACCCTTGGTTTATTAACGAGCGAGGTTTGGGCCTCTCTGGCACGAATGCTTGAAGGCCATCTTGCCGCATTTAATGCCCTGCCCGCCCGACCCGCTCGTTAGGATGCCGCCCGCCCGACCCGCCCGGCAGGGTCCCCGCCCGCCCGACCCGCCCGCCGCATCTAATGTCCCGCCCGCGTCGTCGCCGTCGTCATCGTGGTCGTCAGCTCCGTCTAGCCATGTCGTTTCTTATCATTCCCATCCCCGTCCTCCTTCACGTCGCTCCTCACACTTATCCCTGGCTTCATCCCTGCCTGCCCCCTGCAGTCATCCGCGCTGAGGCAAGGGCCAGAAGCCCGTCAAGTCCACCAAGAAAAAGAAGTCGAAGTCCTGCGGCTGCTTCTGACGCGCGCAGGCCAGAGGATTGGCCGGCCTGCCGGCCTGCACGTGCACGCCGCCTTGAGGCCAGCCGCCCATGCCGATGGCGCCAAAGGGCGGCACCGACGCCAGGCCGCGTTCGGCTCGAGTCACAACGCCTCGAATATGTTTCGTCCTTGTCCTCTTCCTCCTCCTCCTTCTTCATTTGTACATTGAACGCCCCCGAAGGGGCAGACACCGCCGCCCCTCTATTTGTTGAGCGCGGTCGCTTTGATGCTGACGTGCGAGGACGTGAATCCCGCGACCAGATTGGCGTTGTTTGCTATAGAAAGAAGTGGACCACCTGAGCAGCACCGGGTCACACAGAGGCGAAGGCGGCCCAAGGAAGGCGCGAGCAGTCACCGAGAACCCGCTCCTGTAAGTCGAGGCGGGTGCCGACAAGCCGCCAGGGCAGCCGCAAAGAGGCCGCAGAGAGGCCAGACAATCTCCAACAACAGTCGGGCTCGGCCAAGGAAAGGGCGCCAGGTTTTAGTCGGGCATGCCCCTCTACAAGAGGAAATTCAAAAATGGTCAAAATATGTTTTGTCAATTTTTCATTTATTCTCGAGTATCCGCCTGTTGGAGGACATGCCCGACCCAACGCCAGGGGGCCCCGAGTGTGGCCCAAAAAGAGGTTGGGATGGGTCGGGGGCGGCGGACTGGCGTGAACGAGGGAAATCGGTGGGGAACAACAACAATCGCGATTTAGTTTTTTGGGGCCAGACGGCCGAACAAATTCTCCGGAAAGCGCCAAGAGAGCTCGGGGGGAGTGTATCCGTTTCGCTCATTCCGCCAGCCTATATTGCATCACTGTTGCTTTGGTGGCGTGCTCGTTGCGAGCGAGGAGGAGAAAAGGAGGAGGAGGCCTCCCGATGGCCTCTTGGGGCACTCTTGGAACCAAAGTTCGTGGACAAGTCGCCTCCTTGGGAGGTGTGTTGGGTATCTTGGGAGGCCTTGCCTTTCAGGGGCTTCCTGGCGGCAGTTTGGGACCTCCTTGGGTTTTCTTCTTCCGCTCCATTGATACAGGCTGCGAACCTCCAGAGGGAGGAGAGAGAGAGAGAGAGAGAAAGAGTAATTAGTTACTGCTGGTCTGCGGAGGATGTTCCAGGCCTTTTTCGCCTGGGCGCGGGTTGCATGTTCTCTGGGACCGAGGCTCACGCTTGAGCGCGGGGCAGATAAAGCTGACCGGAGGGGTCGCGCACACACTCGGCGGCGACATTTGCTCCCGATCTCGCGAGACTTTTGGCGGCGCGGTCATTGGTGACTCGCTCATGTCAGGGCCAAACACGCCCTGCCGCAGAAAATTCGCACAGCTCAGGAACCTCCAGGCACGACGCCTGCCTCATCTCGCTCCTCTTCCTGCTGCCCTGACAAAGGTCGGAAACTGGAACATATACATTACCAGTGGCGGATTGTTTTTCAATCCCAGGACTTTGAGGGTCGGGTACGACGTCGGGATGGTGTGGTGTATACTGTTTGATCGGTTTCTCGGGGAAGCAACGAAACATGTATGCACCAGGGTCCCGTATACACCAGGATCTGTTTTCTTGTGCAGATTTCAGTGCAGGACTGGAAACAAGCGTCGGTGTATCGAGTTCGGCTCCCTAAAAGGGTCCGATGGACGAGTCTCTCTCTCTCTCTCTCTCTCTCTCTCTCTCTTTGCCCACCCCTTTCTCGGAGTACATTCCTCCTCTGGCTCCTCCCCCATCGCCCTTCTGCTCGCTCCTCCGCATCCTCTCTCCCCCCCTCCACTTCAGTCCCGCTCGCCCGTCCGAGGCCATGCCCCCCCCCCCCTGTTGCCGTCGCCAGTGGCACTCGATCCAGTGACGGTGTTGCCCCTCCCCCCCCGCAGACCGCCGAAGAGGCGATGGTGTGACGCAGTGTGTGATTTTCTCTGTTCTCGTGGACTGACAGCCACGCCGCTGAATTTCGCTGAATTGGTGTGAGTATGCTCGTGACGCGCCGGCATGGCGGAGATGGGAAGCTAAGTTTTGCAGGATGCAGCAGAGTAGCGCCACGGTGCTTTTCCACCCCTTCCCGTAGTGGGACAGGCTCGCATGATGCGGTGGTCCGTCTGTCTATCCCCCCTGGCAGACATCGCCGCGGAGGGGACGGAAGTGGAGTACAATGGAGACCCATGCCAAGAAGCACCCTGCTCGCCTCCAGGGTGCCCTGGGTTTCTTGGGTTTCGATGGCTTTGCCATGGAAAGCGTGACGTTCCCACGCCAAAAATCAATGGACGTCCTGGAGTCGCAGGGTTGGTTTTCTCGTGGAAGGTCCTTGTGGTCGGGCCCGCACTGCATATATTCTCTGTGCCTCCCGCTCCTTCTCGTTCTCCCCGCCCCGCCCTTCGTCCAGGGGGGCCGCTCGACCCGGGTCCGGCAGCGGGCGCGGGTCGCCGCGAAGCGAAATGCCCTTGCTCGGGGCAGCCCCGGGCCACGCGGACCGTGAGATTTGCCCTCCTCGCCTTCCTGCGCTGCACCCTTCTCCTCTGCCCCGCCCCCTCTCCCCCCGCCCCTCTCCCTCCCCGCCCTTTCCTCCCCCCCCCCCTCCCCTCTTTGCGCCCCTGCTTCTAGATACCGCGTGTTTCTGCCAGTAGCTAGTGAGTGCCGCACTAAGCTGACCGTCTCCTCGGCGAATCAGAGCGCAATCCAAAAATCCCCTCCCCTCTCTCCCCCCCCGAGGCCCCCGTCTCTCCCGCCCTGCTCCCCGCTCTCTCCTCTCCCTGGCCCCCCCGCCCCCCCTTCCTGCCCACGTCCCCTCCGCGCTCCATTCTCCCCCTTCCTCGTCTTCCGCGCTGCCCCTGGGCTCCCAAGCGGGGGTCCAGCCGTCGTCGGCGCGCTCTTTCAGAGACCCCGCAGGCCTCTTCAGCGGTCCTGGCCCCTCTCCCTCTCCCGTTCCCGCCCTCCCCGTCCTCTCCATCCCCCTCCCCACGCATGGGCGAATCTCACTGCGCTGTGGCTGTGGCCTGGGTTGCCCTGGCGTGTGCAGTGGTCAATTCACGCGGCGGTGCGATCGTGCTCGGTGGTGCGTGCGGGAGAGAAAGGCTCCATCCAGCTGGATGTGGACAGAAGCGCTTGCGTTGCCTATGCCTCCTCTTCCCCCCTCCCTCTCCTCTTCCTCTCCTCCTCGTCTTCCCCCTTCTCTTCCCCCCTCCTCCTCCTCCTTCTCCCTCCCGCGCCAGCTTCGCCACTTGGCGAGAGTGGGAACGGCAAAGGTTCCGGGCCGTCCAATTTGTTTGTCTCGAACCACCGCCTACACGGGAGCAGGCGGCTTCTCGTTGTCTCCCCTTGCAGCCTTTTCTTTTTCGTTCAATACGCCCTCGCTCTGTATCTCTCTCACATTAATTTTCTTCGTCGTCCCTCAGTTTCCCCCTTCCTCTTTCGGTGCTGTTTGTTGCGCCGTTGTGGGCAAGCATGGCAGACAATGGCATGCGTGCCGGCGGACATATTGGGTCGACACCAATTAAGCAGAATAATAATAATAATAGTAGTAGTAATAATAATAATAAGGATGAGGAGGATGAAGGAATGGCTGTTTGACCTGCAAGGGGGTCGAATGACGAGATTGTAGTTGCGAGCGCTCCTCCACAATGGTTCCAGGATTTCAAAAAACGTTCATCGAATCAGCGCGAAGGCATCACGACCGACATCGACAAGGCGAGGGTCGAAGCGCAGGACGCGAGGAGGGCAGCAAAGGAGGTACAGGAGAATATGGAGGACATGTAAATGGAGGTGGAGGGCATGCGGAACGACCTTCAACAATTCTACCCGATTAAGGACCGCGTCTAAAATATGTTCAACAACAAGATGCGACACATCAAAGACAGCAAGCCTGGCGACGCTGGGGGCAACCTCCAGAACACAAAAGACACCGAGGACAGCAGCAAACCGGTGGTAACACTTGGGTTCAAGGAGCCACTACCTTCGGGAGAGTTGGATAACACGTTGAAAGGGATTTTGACACATATGCTGGAGGACATCAGCAGCGTACGCGTGAGCACCTTCAACACCCCTACCCAGATGGGCACGATCACCTTCCCAACCGTGCCTGCTGAAGTGAAACTCTACAGGAAGGTTCGCGACATCGGGAAGGCGCCATTCATGGAAGGAGTACTTTTCAAGAACAACCAGACGAGGGACGAGGATATTGACGACAAGCGGTCGGGTATACAAAATGCCACTTAACACAAAAGCCCAATCACGAACGTGACAGTGTGAATATATTATGAGCGAAGCGTGTAGTTGTGAAGAGTGCACTCCCCTGCCCCTCTGCCGCCCGTGCCACCGTGTGCGCATGAAGTGCATGCTTTTCATGTTCGTGGCATGCACGCTGCTCGCCGCTGTTTTGGCCCTAGTCCTAGGGCCCTGGGACTGCACCCGCAGTTGGACTGCCGCGCGGTCCGAGCTAAAACAACTGCACTGACATTGGCAGCGGAGCTTGTAAGCTCCAGCGGACGCACTGCGTGCTCTGCTTCGGTGGCTGTGACCACCCGCGCGGGCCGCCACGGCTGCCAGCCAAGACGGCTCAGACGCGGAGGCTGCGTCCTCCGCCGGCGCAGGTCCCCCAGACCTGCACGCGGTCCTGCGCGTGATGGCTGAGACCCAGAGGGGGCTCTTGGCCTTGCATCGGGATCGCGGCGGCGACAGCGGTCCCAGACGCACACGTCTACTGCTGTCGCAGGTGAAGCTCCCGGAGTTCGACGGTGCCGTCGGTGCCGTCGGTGCGAGTACCAAGAAGTACCGGGAGTGGCGCAAGGCAGTTGAGGTCATCCGCAATCTCAACCAGCTTTCTGACGTGGAACTGGGCCTGATCATCTACAGCCAGGTGACAGGTCGGGCCAAGGAACTCGTCGAGGTGCTTGACGCGTCGGACCTTCGACGCGAGGATACGCTCGAGACGATCTTCGCTATCTGCGATGACACCTTCGAGAAGATGGACCACGAGCGCCTGGGCCAGGTGCGCCAGGAGTGGGAGCGAGCACACCGT